CCTCAGCCTCCTGAGTAGCTGGGACTACAGGCATGCGCCACCATGCCCGGCTAGTTTTTTCTATATATTTTTAGTTGTCCAATTAATTTCTTTCTACTTTTAGTAGAGCCGGGGTCTTGCTCTTGCTCAGGCTGGTTTCGAACTCCTGAGCTCGAACAATCTGCCCGCCTCGGCCTCCCAGAGAGCTAGGATTACAGGCGTGAGCCACCACTCCCGGCCTACTATTATTTTTTGACTAGTCTGCCTGCTTCTGCTTCAGCCCATTCTTACACAGCTAGTGGAGTGATCTTTTAAAAATGAGAAGGAATCTTGCAATTTTCCTACTTAAAACCTGTTGTCACTGACTTCCCATTGCCCTTAGGATAGAATTCAAACTTCTCACCATGGCTACAAAGGCCCTGTGTGAGCTGGCCCTGGACTGCCTGTCTGTGTACCCACACTCATCTTGAGCCAATCCTTGTCACTTACCCATGCCATAGCCATCCTGGCTTGTCTAGGGCTTCAGACTTCTCTTCTATCTTTTTGTGTGCCAAGTTCTTTCTCTCTTTCAGGCCTTTGATCATGCTACTCACTCTGCATGGATTATCACCTTTCAAGTCTTACCTCAGATGTCGTTTTTTTCAGAGGAACCTTCCCTGACTTCCTGAGCTATAGTAGAGCCACCCTGCATTTTTCTTTCCTGGCACTTAACACAATTTGTTGGTATTATGGTTACTTGTGTGTTTGTTTAGTATCTGTTGCCCATACAAGTTCTCTGAAGGCAAAATCCATTCTGTGTTTTGTTTGGCATTGTACCCCCAGTGCCTGACAGTCCTGAGCACATAGCACCCCATGAATATTTGTTAGATTTGTTGAATGAATGAGGGTCATAATCATTTTCATTTTCTATATTGAAAACTTATAATTTTGACACAGTCGCAGAACAAATAGGACTGTGAGTTTTGTAGCTGATTTCATGTACTTTTGATGGTTCTATTACATTTTCAACTGTTATTAAACACTCTTTGCCTCTGGAAGGTTGGGACGTGGAAATTGCAAATCAAATCTTGGGGGAATTTTTCGTCCCTGCTGCCTGTATTCATTATGGTGGCTTTGATTATCATTGCCTGACCCACCATCAGTCTTACAACGGTAGAGTTTTGAAATTGGAAAAACTTGTCCTTGTTCCCTTGAGTTAGGCATTTGTGGTAGAGTATGGTAGAGCCTTCTCCTTTAACCCTAATTTGGGAAGCATCCCAATACATGCTGTTTGCATTGCAGCTGTGGGAAAGTCCACCTTTGTGAAGTTACTCACGAAAACTCACCCAGAGTGGCATGTAGCTACAGAACCTGTAGCAACATGGCAGGATATCCAGGCTGCTGGCGCCCAAAAAGTAAGTTTTCAGTTGTGGTGGGTAGTTGGCAGGCATGGATGAGTAATCTAATTGTAATAATTTAATTTGCTCTGAGTGGGTGAAGTAGCCCAGTTTGAGTCTCCTTTTTAAAATAGCTTCATTCCAGAAAACAGACCACATACACCAGAGAGGATATGACTTGTTTGAATATATTTAGTTTTGATTTTTGTGGTTTTTATGTGTCTATATAAGTGACAGCCTCTGTTCTTTGTGGTTTCCCAAAGCATGTCCAATCATCATGGCTTTAAAGATGAATTTTGTCATTCCTGCCCTTAAATATTTACATTACTGAAGCTGACCATCAGGATTAACTGTTAATTATGGTGATTTTAAATTTTTTATAAAGTCTTAGAAATTGGAAGGGACCGTAGAGAGGATCCTGTCACACTTTGAGTTAGTGCAGATGTAATAGCTAACATTTACAAAGCACATGCTATGTGTCAGGCACTATACTATGCCAAGCACTGTATGTGTTTCACTTATACCTCATGGTTCAGGCCCTAGTGTCATGCCTACTGCTTCGTCAAAGGCCACAGGGTTGGTTTCGACACCATCCACATCAGTGTGAGTAAGGAAGGACCAGTTTGGACATGAACCTTAGAAGTAGCTGAGGGAGTAGCAGCACTGTGCGTCTTCAGGCTCCATGAACGCCTCCTGGAACACCACCTGGAACATTCACTGAGTGGCTCATTCTTGTTTGTCATAACTCTAATTGCTAGACAGTTCTGCCTTGCATTGAGCCACGTTGCACCCCTGTGACTCTGACTCATTGGTTCAGGTTCTGCCTCCTAAGTCTTTTAACTTTTCCACGTGGCAACCCTATATATAGCTGAAGGCAATGGTTTGCTTGCTCTTTCTCCCCCTCATGTCTTCTCTCTTTCAAGCCAAACACCTCCAATTTTCCT